GCATCTTACAACAGTCAAAATGATTAAGAACAAAAACTCAAGTGACAGAACATGCTGGAGCAGGTTGTGCAAAGGGAACCCTCCTCCATGGCTGGTGGGAGTGTAAACTCGTACAACTATGTTGGAAATCAGAATGGTGCTTTCTCAGAAAACAGGGAAAACTGCTACCTAAAGACTCAGCTATACCACTCATGGGCATATAGCTGAAAAATGCTCCACCATACAACAAGGACATTTGCTCAACTATGTTCATAGCTGCTTTATTCATAATAGCCACAATCTGGAAACAAGCTAGATGTCCCTCAACTGAAGAACAGATGAAGAAATTTTGGTGCTTTTCCACAATGGAATACTTCACAGAAAATCATGAAATGTGCAGGAAAATTCAGGGAGCTGGAAAAGGTCATCCTGAGTTTGGTAACCCAGAACCAGAAAGACATGCATGGTATGTACTCACTTATAAGAAGACATTAGTCATATAATACTGGATAACCATACTACAATCAAGAGACATAAAGAATTTAAATAGCAAGGATAATCTTAAGGAGGATGTTTGATTCTCGTTCAGATGGTCAAATAGAATATACACTGGAAGCTTTGAAGAGAACGAACAGGATGTAGCCTATCATGATGTCCTCTGAAAGACTACATCAAGCAGAAGATCTAAGCAAATGCTGAAAGGCACATCCAAACTTTGGGTATAGCCTAGGAAGCCTTATGGGAGATTTGGGGGATAGAAGAGCCTGGAGAAAACAGGAGCTCCACACGGAGACCAATAAAGCCAACAAGTCTGTGCCTGGGGGGGGCCTGCAGAAATTGATGCACTAACCATGGACCATGCATGGAGAAAAACAAGACCCCTCTGCTCAGCTGTAGCCAACAGGCATCTAAGTTTACCTGTGTGTTGCCTAGTAAGGAAACAAGGCCTGTCTCTAATGAAGACTCTGCTGTACCATTTCTTTGATCACTTCCCCCTTGCCAGTCTACAGAGGAAGAGGATGCAGGCATCCTCTTGAGACTTGATAGGCTGGGGTCAGATGGTAGGGGATAATTGCTCCCTATTTCTGAACTAGGAGAGAGACAAGGAGAGAGGGAAGGGGTTGGAACTGGGAGGAGACAAGGGGGTGGGATATAAAGTGAAAAAATAATAAATGTTAATTAATTTATTGATTGATTGATTGATTAATAAGATAAGTATTTGAGCCAATATGCAAAGACTCTTCACTTTGGGGAGCCCAAATCAGAGACAAGGTACTTAAGACAGCAATTAATCATAAAACATGAGCATTGGTAAAAACAGAGGTTCCGACAGGAAACATGAGCTTCATGGAAGAAAGAAGTGAAATGTAAACAGGCCTGGTCCTGGAATTAGATGTTTAGGTACCAGATAAGAAATGACACACTAAAAAAATTGGCGTTAAAACTCCCACTGATCTCCAGAAGTTGTGTTCTTCTCATTTCCTTGTCTTGAGGAATCTGACCCTTGACTCACATTTATAGGAAGAATGAGGGTTTTGGTGTTGGTCCAGACTGATTATATTACATGGGTGGCCCTTGGAACTGAAGAAGACATTTCATTGAGAAAAGCTTCCAAGACAGGCATGACGTCAAACACTGTGTTTGTGGTGTACAAACAAGACACTGGCATAAGCACACATGTGCACATGGAATAGCTGACTCAGGGTACTGAACCAAAGCTTCCACTGAGAGCATTCATAAGAGAAGAGGAGTGTGCATATGCTGTGTAAACTAATGCCTTCCTAAGGGATAGGGATATGTTTCTTCAATTCCAAAGAACACTTTTTTTTTTTCAATCTCAGTCATAGTCATTGGAACATTGTATCGGTTTTCCTTCAGTAGATATCATGAATGAAGTTTTTCTATGTCAGTAAGACTCTTCTTTCTCATGACATTTTCCATGGAAAGTTTCATTCCTTTTGGAAAGGAAGATATGCTGCAGGGTGGTAAAAGGTGACATTAGAAAGGCATAGTTACTTATATAGAACTGATAAATCCCTTAAGAGATTTTTTTTCAACATTACTACTTGAAAGTTGTACCCAGGATATGAGTCAGTTTTAGGGGATAGAACCAAGAAAAACTCCAGAAAAATCACAGAACTTCACACCTGTCCTCAAAAGACATGTAATTGAACAGACTACCTTGGTGATTTAGGGGCAAAAGTGGTTTAAACTTCGGGAGTTCAAAGAGAACATTGTTTTAATCCATTTACATTCTCATTTATTCCACTTACATTCTCAGTCCCCAAGACTGGATTTAGCTGTCATTTGCCATGACCTTAATCGACTGGAGTACTCAGTACTTATGAAGAAAAGCTGCATTACTGCAATATTAACAATTATAAGCAAACTTGGGAAACACCAAATTGAACACATATAGAATCAAATTAACTTACAAAATATTTTCAGAAATGAGGCACAAGAAGAATTTCTTTGTTATAGACAGTTAAACAAAGCCAGTGACAAAGGTGGAAAGGTGACAAATGATTGTTGAAAGTTATTTCAGTGTCTCTTGTGTTGTAACCATTGCCAAAGATTTAAATTGAGTGATTTTCTCATTCCTTTATGGTCCTTTATTTGCTGTATTACACAAGAAATAAAGAAAATACAAAATAAAGGGAAGAATAAAATATAAAGAATAATATAGTTTAGAATCATATTTCCTTTGCCGGGTAGTTTATCTGAACCACTCCTACACTGGAATAACTGTGGTTGATGTCACTGTGATGGTAAAGGTCCTCATGATGTAGCAGGTGCTGGTAGTAGTGATGAACTTGTGATTACTCTGGTGGAGATGATGGACATGATTGTCTTGGTGGGGCTGAAGGTCAATGTATGGATAATGGTCATATTATGAAAGTTACCTAATCAAATTGGTGCCCATCAATGAATGACTCTGTTAAGACTGCATGACACGTATATGTACCAGAGTAATATCCAGTCATAAAGAACAAGGGTATCATGTTGTAGTCACTCAAATTGATATAACTACATAACATCATGAAATGAAAAATAAGGACATTCTGAAAGACAACATGAGCATGTTTGTTTAAATATGAAATCAGAATAAATTAATTAAGATATATTAATGTAAGTATGGAAATATTAGGCCAGATTAGGGAGAAAACTGTGAGTAAACTGTTTGTAGTTTAGGCAAAATATGATCCAAATGGTATATGCATGACTAAATACCATATTGTCTTCTTAAGTTAGCATGTCCTAAAAAGAGGGATTCCAGTTAAGCAGACTAAAATAATGTGCCCTTCAAGCAAACAAACACTAGGCAATCTTTACTATGATCCAAAATTAAGTCAAAATGGAATTGCTGCATTGACATGTGAATCAGAGGGTAAAAATAAAGAAATATAAGCATATCATAAAGATGATGAAGTTAGTTTTAAAGAAGAAACCACATGAATGCCATGAATATGATTGCACTCTTTTGAGGAAATGGAACAATGGAGACGCGGGTTTGGAAACCATACTCTGACAGCACTGAGCAAACACCTGCTGCTCTTCCCTCTGAGCATCTGGGATGCTAAATCACGGAAGAAGGGCCATTTTTAGAATTCCCTTGACAAGAGCAGGATTACAGTCTCAGGGAAATGCCTTCCCTAGCATAAGTCGTAAGAGACACAGGGAAGTTGACGTTTAGAGAAGATTGTTCTGCAGCCATGATAAATGTTGAAATGAAGATAAAGTTATTGATATAGAAAAGCATGAGATGGCTTCTGTTGTCTTCCCACGGTCCTCATGACTGCTGAAGACCTCACTTGCTCTTAGGTGGGTACTTCTGCTGGCATGGTGAAGTAGGTTGCACAGGAGGATATTTCTGCTAGCATGGGACAATGGGACATATCTCAGAACAAGACTCTCAGCCCACTTCTAACAAGGATAGATTAATGTACATATGTAAGAACTAGGGAAGTGGAAAGTGTGAGTGTGAATACGCTAGGTGGGGGTGGGGGTGTAAAATAGAAAACAAGTGGCACATAAATACGTGTATATTAATACTCTCCTTAAATTAGCATGTGCTGAAGTAGAGATTGTGTTTTTGCATGTACTGGAACGGACATTGTAGTTGGCAGAATGACATGATGCGTTCCTTAAGCAATCAACTCTTCATGTTCTGGCTAGTTTGATGTCAACTTGGTACCAGCTAGGGTCATTAGAGAGGAGAGATCATCATTTGAAGAATGTCTCTATAAGACTGGAGTACAAATGTGTCTTTGGCAGAGTTTTTTTTTAATTAGCAGTTAAGGGGAAGAGCAAATCCAATTATGGATGGCATAATTTCTAGGCTGGTAGTCTAGCGTTCTGGAAGAAAGCAGGCTGGTCAAGCCGTGTGAAGCAGTACCACTCCATAGCACTGCAGCAGCTCCTGCCTCCAGGGCCTCTACCAGTTTCAGTTCCTTTTCTGTCTTGTTTCACTGATGTGTAAGTGTAAATCAAATAACACTTTCCTTCCTAAATGTATTTGGGGCATGGTGTTTCATCATATCAAAGTAACATAGCGTGGAAACTAACTATACTGTGATATGATGCAAAATTCAATCAAAAGTGGCTTACAGCAGACTTTCAAGCAGGGCAAATGATAGAAACCAAAGAACATGAACATATCCTAATGTGACTTTTCAAGAAAATGAACATGAATGAATACCATCAACAACATAGTACTTTATTCAGAAAATGAAACAACACTGAAAATAGTCTGCCCAAATCACAGATTTTTGAAACTTGTCCGATTGGGCCACTGAAGAAGACCCATTCTCAGCAGCATCTTGACAAAAGCAAGAATACAGGAACAAGCAAATTTCTTTCCTGTCAGAGATCATCACTGGCATATGGAGGTGGCAGAAGGGTGGGGAATATTCTTCTGCATCCATGACAGACCTTGAAGAAAAGATGGGCATGTTGCTCTGGAGGTAGAGGAGAGACATTCACTTCTCTTCTCTTGTTCCCGATGCTGCTGAAACCATCCCTCACTTGCTCTTGGGAGGGCACTTCTGCTGACACGGTGGAGAAGGTTGCACAGGAGGACATTTCTGCTGGCATGGGGGAGGAGGACAAGGCTCGGGGCACTTTGGAGGAGGACAAGGCTCGGGGCACTTTGGAGGAGGACAAGGCTCAGGGCACTTTGGGGGTGGACACACAGGAGGAGGCTGGCAGGGCTGCTTGCACTGCTGCTGTTGGTAAGACATCGTGGTGAAGTCTCAGGATCTGAAAGACATTACGTGAGAGTGTTCAGGAGTTATCAATACAGAGAAGATTGATGGAGACTTGGAACATCAGATCCATTTCTCTCTCCAGGCATGAATATAACCTTCCAACTACAGTTTTAGGACTTCTGGATTTCCCCTTTCCTGCCAGCAATCTGTTGCAGTAACCTTATAAAAATCTTTCTTGATTTATACCCTTTTTTGTGGATAACATGAAACAATTCATGCTGTTTACATAAAGAAATTCCTTCAAGACAGGCAATCTCATGTTCTGGTACCCTGGAAACCTCAAAGCAAATTCCTGTCCCCTTCATTACCTATATCATCCCAGGTGTTGTCTGGTGTTAGACATTAAGGACAGATCAGGAAAAATCTCAGGTTATAACACCTGAAAAAGTTCATGGCTTTTCAGAGAGCACCAAGAGATGCATATGAAAGAGAAATAAGTTGAACTCTGTTCAACTGCCTACCATAAAGAAGGAAAACCACTTGTCACAGTGGACTATAGTGTCCATTGCTAAATTTCTGACTACCTCGTGGGCACCATTTATCCCATGATCAAAACTGGACTCACAACACTTACTTCCTCACAATTAACTACAACACATAAGAAGACCATACAGACAGATCATCTCAAGAAATGGCACTCACCAGTTTCTCCAAAGTAGTCCAGGAACTGAGGACCAGCAGTCTGCAGTCATGCAGCCAAGGACCTCTTTATAGGACTGGCTGCTCAGCTGAGTGGGAGTAGAATTGTATGGAAGTGGGCAGGGCCAAGAAATTCCCAAGCAAATGCAACTCTGTGTCTAACTGGCTTGACCAGAACAAGATAGGAAATACCATATTCCTGGACATCATCACTGCTTCACTGCTGTGACTCAGAAGGCCCTCCCCTTTTTCCAGTTTCAGTAACATCTGACAGATGCAGTAATTGGCGGGGGGGGGGGTTCCTCACTAAGCTCTCCTGATTGAAGGCAATATTTTTATCTCTGCTTTTAAAGTTGTTTCTCAATTTTTACAGTTAGCGCCCTGTTTGTTCTACTTCAACTCACTGGTATTCTGTGGTGCATGAAGACCATTGGCATTCTTGTGTTTTAGTTGTAATTCTCCTATGAGAGAAGGAAATTAAGGGTGGTTGTGGGTTTCATTTCAGCATTGTTTTTGATAACCTTAACAACCCTGTTCCCAGACACAAGTCATATCTCCTGCCTAGGGGAACCATAGAGAATAGTATGTCCCCATCAGAGAGGAGGCTCATGGCCTTTGGCCTTATCCTGAAACACTTCTGGACTTCCATGATACATGGCACATAGCAGTATATATTTGGACTTACCTATAAAGATAACTACAAGACTGCCTACCAGGGCAAGATAGGAACTAAAACTGCACCTGCCCTAGGCATGTTCTTTAGGTTGTTATCATGAAGACTCACAGTCACTCACAGCTCACTTATGTGAAGAAATGTTGACTCTCTGTGGGTTTCAGCAACTATAGTTTCTGTGAGGATTTCCAAAAGACACATTACACAGAATCATTTGTATACAGCACACACTCACTCTCACACACACACCCTCACTCTCTCTCTCACACACACAAGCAAAGGCACAAGCACATGCACGTGCATAGGCAGAGGCACGTGCACTTACTTGCATGTGTCCACATATACACTGAGAGAAAGACAGAGAGACCCTCTATCTCAAAGTTTAATCTTCCATGATGGCTATATCACTTTCTGATTTTCTAAGGTTTATTAATAAATCTTTTCTGGATATATCTGAAATGATACATTTAAAATTATTCGTTTTTAAACTATGTTTGTGGATATAATTATTTATTTACCTATTACAATTTATTCACTTTGTATCCCAGCTGTAGACCCTTCCCTATTCTCCTACTAGTCCCACCATCCATCCCTCTTCTCACCTGCTCCTTCCACCAGTCCAATGACAGGGGAAGCCCTCTTCCCCTAGCCTATCAGGTCTCTTCAGGCCTGGCTGCATTGTCTTCCACTGTGGTCTGGTAAGGCTACCTCCCAAAACCACCACAGGGGGAGGTAGGTGATCACAGAGCCAGCCAATTGAGTTCATTTAAGAGACAGTCCCTGTTCCCCTTACTAGGTAACTCACTTGGACACTGAACTGCCATGGGGTACATCTGAGCAGGAGGTCTAGGTTCTCTCCAATCATAGTCCTTGGTTAGAATACCGATCACTGCAAAGGTCCATGGGCCCAGATTTTTTTATTCTGTTGGTCTCCTTGTGGAGCTCCTGTCCTGTCCAGATCTTTCTATCTCCCCCTTCTTTTATAAGATTCCCTACACTCTGCCAAAATTTGTCTATAAGTCTTAGCATCTACTCCAATACCCTTGCTGGGTAGCATCTTTCAGAGGCCCTCTGTGGTAGGCTCCTGTCCTGTTCCCTGTTTTCACCTGCTTCTGATGCCTATCCCATTTGCCTTTCTGGATGAGGATTGAGTAACTTCCCTAGGGTCCTCCTTCTTGCTTATCTTATTCAGGTATACAGATTTTAGAGATTTTTTTTTAATTCTTCATTGACTTAACACTTTTGTGGAGGACAAGGCACTGGACACTTAGAGCATGTACACACAGGGGGATGGAAATGTTGCTTGTACTTTTCTTTTGGTAGAATATCATGCTGAAGTGTTAGGACCTGAATAAAATAACATGAGCTTTCTTTGACAAGTGGTCCCCACAGAAAAGGAATCTCTAACTTAAGGAATGTCAGAACAACTCAACAATCCCAACACTATCTCTGAACTTCTTGACTTTGCCTTCCATGTCACCATTTTGTTTTATTAACTTTGGAAATTGTCATTGTTCTTCACATGTTAGGAACATCTTTGTCCTTAAGGACAGGGCAATGGTACTTGAAATAAATATTATCTGTAAGAAAAGGAGTCTGAAGTTTAAGTTCTAAAACACTAAACAATATCAATCATGGCTTTTACTGGGGCCATGACTATCACTTGGTATGTTCCAGGAAATTGACTATAGTATTAAAAAAAAAAAACCCAGAATAATTCAAGGATCTAGAACCTACCAAGAAGAATAACAGAAGAGTTCCAAAAAGAGGGAAATGTTCTATTTAATCTGGGAAAGTTGCTTTTTATTTGGAGGAGAAAGAATAGAATGAGAATGATAAAACAAAGCCTTTAACTACTCCCAGCTTTTCTCTGAGAAGCACACAGCACTGAATCATCCTCAGTGAAGCATGTCAATTTCCTGTGACATAAATGCTTTTGACAGTAAGGAAGGGGTTAGCTGAGATTGCTACTGTTTATTTCCCTAAAGGGAAAGAGAGTCACAGTTCAGGACCTGGGGCCAGATGCTTACAAATGCACCACCATTAGATGGCTCATAAAGGCTAGTACCCATACCAGTAAGTCAGGTCAGTAGGAGACTTATGACTCTCCATATTTGCATATGACACATAAAAATCATCCTAGGGAAATGGCCTTCTCTAATAGTATATAAAGTAAGTCAATGAAAAATTGCTAAACAACAAATTTCAATTCATTCTGTCAGTTTTTATGTGATGATTATTTAAGTAAAGCCTTAGAAAATCAAGAAGTGATACATATAGTTAGATGGGAGATTAAAAGGTAATCCTCGTGGTCTTTTTGTATATGTGCCTTCGTGCCAGTCAGTCTCTGCTCCAGCCCTCCCTCTTTCACCCTCAGAGTGTGTGTGTGTGTGTGTGTGTGTGTGTGTGTGTGTGTGTGTGTGTATTCCTCTGTGTACCCATTGTACATCAGGGATTCACTGTCAAAGCATATGTGGAGACTCATAACCAAACTTTGGGCAGAGTGCAGGGAAGGTTATGGAAGAAGGGGGAGATAGAAAGACCTGGAAGGGACACAAGAAGACCAATAGAGCCAAGAATCCTGGACACATGGGGGCTATGCAGAGACTGATACTCCAACCAAGGACCATGCATAGAAAAGACCTAAGCCCCTGCTCAGATGTAGCTCATAGAAAGCTCAGTCACCATTGGGATTCCCTAGTGAGGGGATCAGGGGCTGTCTCTTACATGAACTCAGTGTTCAGCTCATTGATCACCTCCTTTTGGGGGCTGCAACCCTTCCAGGCCACGGGGAAAGACTAAGCAGCCAGTCCTCATGAGACCTGGTAGGCTAGATCAGAGAGAAGGAGAGAAGGACCTCGCCTATCAGTGGACTAGGGGAGGATCATCGAAAAAGAAGAGAGAAGGAGGATGGAACTGGGAGTAGAGGAAGGAAGGGATACAGCTGGAATACAAAGTGAATAAATGGTAATAAATAATAAATTATTTTTAAAAATGAAAAGTCTCCAATTTAAAGGATCCAGCTTTCTATTTTGATATTTTAAAGACCTTTAAAACAATAATATACACAGATAGAAGTGAAATAGTGAAAAAAAAAGAATGATACTAAAAACAAGTTGAATCAGTATGCATTCTTGAGTTGGTGACCAAGATCTGGAACAGAAACTATAAATCCAAACATAGAGAAGCTAAGGAGTGTCACTACTTGTAAACAAAGGGAAAAAAATCTACTGAGAAGGTATAGCTTTAAATAGAGATACTCAGTGTTTATTCCCAAAATTTCATTAAATAAGCACTAATAGATATGAAGAGAAAGATTCATCAGAGAAACAAAAATGAGTCTCCTATATATCCCATTTGCAGCCATAGATAATATTTCAGAGTGAAACACAAAAGGAACAACAACAAAAAACCCTTCAGATTTAAACTATTAAATAGGGTTCATTACATAACAACAGACTAGAGAATAAACTATACAACACACTGTAAAAGACAGGGTCTTATTAGGAGACCATATAATTTCCCTAAGATACATCATAGTTTAGAGTACAAAAAATATTTATTTTACAAAAAATAAAGTTGATATTTTCCTGTGTTTTACCAAATCATAATGACAAAAAGAAACCAGAAGGAATATTTAAAATTATTCAAACCTATGGAGATTGAACAATTTA